GGGACCCACAGAAACCAAACCAGAAACAGCACTCCTCCCGGTTCTGTGCACACCGCGCGCCAGCTGCTCTTAGCTGATTCCGACCTGGGCCTGTTACCGCGTCTCTGGGAACACAGTCGGTGTCGTTAGGGAACTGAGTGTGTTCGGGTCGAAATCCCCTCCTGGGAGATGGCGTGGTGGTCGCCCTCATTCCTCACAAAGCAGAGTCAAGTCCCCACCAACCGGACTCAGCCTGTGACTCGAGTCCAGGCTGACTCGATGCGACCAGAGCCGCGGGGGACCGCTCAGCGCCGTGGACGGGAGGCCCTGGAAGGGAAGGGGTGCCTGCTCTGCCCTGGGCGGCACAAACCCAAGGCGCTGAAGCTCACCGAGGGTCAGGTTCCGTCCGGAGGCACCGCAGAAGGATGGCCTGGTGATCTATCAGCCACTGGGAGTGCGGCGGAGCGCGGCCCCAGCCCGGGTCAGACCCGACCCGACGGACGGTGCGGCGCGGCCCCACCTGCATCGGACCTGGCTGTATGGCAGGTAACGGGTCATTCTCTGCAGCAGGCCCGTGGGCGCTGGGGTTACACTGATCTGCCTCCTGCCAGGAACTCGCACGGGTCTGGCGTTGCACCCTCAGTGTCACAGTTTTACTGACACGGGAAGAACACATAGGACCCCGGGTCAGAGGAACCAACAGCTGGGATCAGCACCGTCTCACAGCAGTCCCGGAGGGAACCCCCTACCGCCCGCACCTGTGGAGGGCCGCGTGACAGCGCCAGTCCCAAGGGGAACCCCCCACCCTCTACCACCTGCAGAGTGTGGGTGACGCACCACTTACTGCCCACGGAGGCCATGTCACAGCGCCAGTCCCAAAGCAGGCCCCCGCCACCACCACCGTGGAGGCCATGTCGCAGTGCAGCCCTGAGTTCAGCTTTTCTTACAGGCAGCGAGCCTGCCGGGCCTCATCCCCTTTGGTTTCCTGGGCTGGGGGCGCCACCTCGCTCTCCCAGGGACGCTCACTACTGCGCCCCTTGCACAGACAGGACACAGGCAGGAGGAGGGCCCCGAGAGCCCCTCCCTGGAGACGGCTGCGCCGTGTGTCTCCCAGGAGCGAGGACGTTCTTCTGCGGGACCGCGCACACTTGCCGACTTCGGTGTGTCTCATTCTGACACGCTGCGTTTATCTAACCCGCGTCCATTGCCCATCTCCACCAGTGACCCGACAGCTGTGCTCAGAGTCCCGTCCTGCACTGCAGGACCCGGGCCAGGCCCGCTCCGCGTGTCCAACGACCACGTCCTCTGTCTCCTCACATCTGGAACATTCCTCAGCTTCTCTAGCCTTTCGAGACATTAAACATTTGAACAACACAGTCCTTTTTCTTTCTTTTTTTAATAGAATGTTCCTGACGTCTCCATTTAGACCCAGGTGTGTGTCCCCAGAGGATGACGTACACGATGAGACGTGTCCAAATTTTGTTTCTATCCGTTTTTCTGTACTTTTTATCACTTGCAATAATTGTGAAGGATTTTTTTCTCCTGATTATTTAAGTAATGAACACTTTTGGTTAAAAAAAAAATGAAGTGGCCCTCAAAACTCTTAGGAACGAATTACCTGCACCCCCACCACCCTCAGGCGATCATTGTAAACGTTTTGGGGCTCATTTCCTGCACCACTCTTTTGACACATATACACCCATAAATAGAATGGGGTCATGGTGTCAAACCACACCCACTGCTGTGAAGTCGATTCCGACCCACAGCGCCCCTAGCGGACAGAGTGGAACTGCCCCACAGGGTCTCCAAGGCTGTCAATCTTCACAGAAGCAAAGCCCAAACCACACCCACTGCCTGGAGTCCATTCTGACCCACAGCGCCCCTAG